TGGTAATTTTTTATCTATTTACATGATAATTTCCGATAAAACGGTTTTGATGGAACTATAAAAGCAGGTACTGTAAATATAGCAGGTTTTACAAGAAATATTAATACTTAGACAATAGATATTTTTTAAGAGATGATTTAAAGGAGGGGAGTGATGTGTTGGATGTCGCTGGTGAACTCCGAGATGTAAGCCAAGTGGCGAAGAACACGAAGTGTATGTGTCTGGCAGACTGAAGCGAAGGCGTGAACGAGGGGCTTGTGATCGGTGAAGATGGTGAACTGACTTGCCTTGAGGAAATGCTGGAAATGCTTGACAGCAAGGTATACGGCCAGGAGCTCTTGATTGAAGGAGCTGTACTTGAGTTGATGTGGTTGAAGCCGCTGTGAGAAGGCAATGGGCATGAGAGTTCCGTTGATCTCCTGTTGTAAGACGGCGCCCACGGCAGTAGAAGAAGCGTCTGTTGTGAGAGTGGTCCGGGCGTTGGGGGCAGGGTGAGCCAGCAGAGTAAGGCGTGTGATGTGCTGCTTGATAATGGTGAACGCTGTAAAAGCCTCTTGATTCCATATGAGAGGCTTGTGAGACGTCTTGGGTAGTCCCTTGAGAAGATCGTGGAGAGGAGTGAGGATGTTAGCAGCCTGGGCAATGAAGCTGTGGTAGTAGTTGACTAAACCCAGGAATTGTCAGAGCTTCTTCGCTGTTTCAGGTTTGGGGAACTCCTTGATGGTAGTTACCTCATTTGGCAGGGGTTGGATGCTGCTCGACGAGACTCTGTGACCGAGGAAGTAGATGGAGGAGGCTCCAAAGACCCACTTGGCGGGATGAACTTTCATTTCGTTGCTCTGCAGGCGTTGGAGAAGGAACTGTAGGTGGTGATGATGCTCGGCAGGCGTCGGAGATGCGACGAGAATGTCGTTGATGTAGACAGTGACAAAGTCGAGGTCGCGAAGTATGTGGTCCATATTCCTCTGGAAAGTTCTGAGCTGCATTGCGTAGTCCAAAACTCATGTAGGCATACTCAGAGAGACCGAACGGAGTGGTGAGGGCAGTCTTCTGGATATCTGTAGGTGCCACTGGAATCTGATGGAAGGCACGCTCCAAGTCGATCTTCGAGAAGATGGTCTTGCCGTGGAGTTTGTGGTGGAAGTCCTGGACTTGCGGGATAGGATACCTGTCATGTTTGGTGACGAGGTTCAGGGCTCTGTAGTCACCACATATCCTCCAGTCGTTGGATGATGGTTTTGGAACCATGTGAAGAGGAGATGCCCAGTGACTCTTTGAAGGTTGAATGATACCGTCTTGCAGGAGTCTGTTGAATTCCGCCTTGGCTGCGTTCAGGAGCTTAGGGCAAAGGCGGCGAGGGCGTGAGAATACTGGAGGTCCTGGAGTCTCGATATGGTGGAAGATTCCCGGGGTGGAGATACTCGGGGTGAGAAAAGTTCCTTGAACTCCTTGAGCAGGGAGGAGAGCTCGTTGAACGGCGAGAGGTAGGTGATAGTGTCGGTGACTGTGGTACGTGTACCCTGGATCGTGTGTGCTGTAGGCTCATGGAAGGTGAGGAAGTCGAAGCCAAGAAAATGGGTTGAGAGACGTCTGTCACCACGAAGGACCAGCGCAGAGTCTTGGGAAGACCAAGTTCTAAGGCGAGGATGTGTGCGCCGTAGGAGGCGATGGGGGTACCGTTGGTGGCGAGCAGTCATATGAGGGTTGCTTTGATGTGTCTCTTGGGGTGAGGGAGGGATGATGCTGACCGATGCACCTATGTCAACGAGGAATTTCCTTCCAGAGATGTGGTCGGTGATGTGCAGCAGTGGAACGCCTGAAGTGATGGCGATTGTGGCGTCTACCATTCCCCGTCGATGCCGTTTCCGAGTAGTTGCAGGGAACCTCACAACGTCTTGCACTAGCACCGAAGTGTTCATGGTACTAGCAGAGGGTAAGTGCACTGTGCTGGGAGCTGGTGGTGGTGTCTGAGGCAGGACGTAGACATCGGGGTTGTTAGGACACAGTGCGTGGAGCAGGAACAGGAGCAGCAGCAGGCATAGAGAAGCAGAGCTGCTCGTGGGTGTCCATCCTGCGGTGTAGAGACTGTAGCTGCGTGTAGCAGGTCCCTCATGTCTTGTGAGGTGTTGCTCGTCTGAGGAGCGTTGATCCGGTTGACAGGATCGGAGGTAAGTGACGGTGTGACCGCCGAGTTGTCCGCGGCAGCATGGCGCACAGCAGTGTATTCATGGAATACTCTGTGTGCCGTGGCTGCGTAGGTCGTCGGGGTTGTAGAGTAGTCCAGTGCGGAGAGGGCGAGGCGAACTTCTGCGGGGAGCTTCTGTGCGTGAAGCTGGCGCAGGACAGTGCCAGGAAGCCTGTCCGTGTGGCGGGAGTTCAGTCTACTCACCTCGTCCCAGAGACATGCAGGCATTGAGTTGCCGAGGGGTAGACTTGATAGGTCTACCAGCGCCAGGCCGCTGGTATTGCCTTTTCAGAGCATCTCGTAGAGCTGCGAATTTGTTGTCAGCTGGAAGGTTGATGATGATTTCTGAAACTTGCGTGGCGACTTTTGTGGGCAAGGAACAGACCAGGGCAACGTACTTTTGCTCGTCTTTAGCTATTGAGCCGGTGGAAGCTGCCTCCATGTGGATTATCCAGTCCTCGATATTCTTGTTGAAGACTGGAAGAGGGATTCGTTTCTCATCCATCCTTGTGTGAGTGCGTTACTCCGTGGGTCACCAATTGTAGCATATTGTATGTGGCCAGTTGTTAAATTTCTTTTTGTGTTTGTCTATTTCCTATACTGTATATATATATTGTATGTGCAATGCAGTGCTAGGGAGTTGCTGTGTGGTGAGGAGCTGGTTGAGAGAAGGTCTTGTCTGTTTGAGAGCGTTAAGTAGAATGACCTTCACGGCGAGGCTGGGGGTATTTATATGGTTCTGCTGGATCAGGTTGAGAGGTGTGAAGTGAGCGGCGCTGCTGATTGGCTGAGGTGAAGGCGGTAACGGGTCAATCACCGCGCAGTCCGAAAGTGAGGCCCATCACATTTGGAACTCGCCGCTGGTTGGCCGGTAAGCGGATGGCAAGTGATCAACCAGCAGTTGTAGGGGAGAGCATCCACTACAGTCTTACTTTTACAAGTAGCAAAATAGATCTTCAATTCTTGGTTACAACATTAGACAATTATCATATTATTTCGTTGTCAATACAAATGGTTATTTGACACACTTGACGATATCCCAAATTACCATATTATTTATAACATTATGGTATTTCGGAATGAACAACATGGCACTTTTACTCTAACTCAGTTGGTAGTACATATTAATGATGTACTCACAACCCACATAACACTGAAGAATCTCCCCCCCCCCCACCCTTTATTTCAGTGATGCATTGTTTTCCTTCTTTACTTTTTGTTACTTAAGTTTTTTTATTTAATATATTAGTTAAATCAGGATGAGAAAATACTACATATGCAGAATAGTTTATTAAACTTGTCATCACATAGGGTACTGAAGAGAAATATGAGTACATAGATTCTTATAAGCATTATTATAAAATCCCATCTGATCCCTGAGACATGCTAGGGACTGTCAGTTGGTTGAAAATGTTCAAAGGAGGGCCACCAGACTGGTGCCTGCACTTCGGCATCTGAGCTACCCTGAGAGATTGGAGCGCCTGAACTTGCCTAGCTTATACTACAGACCTAATTGAGGTGTAAAAGCATTTCAAGGGGCACTACTCAATCGAGTGTCCTTACTTGGAGCTGGCGGACGATCGCCCCACAAGGGGTCACAGCTCAAGATTGAAGAAGCCACAAGTTCAGAAAACTGTGAGGGCAAACTTTTTCGGAGTGAGGGTTGTAAATTCTTGGAACAATCTACCAGAGAGTGTTGTGACGGCACCGAGTGTGAGCTCTTTCAAGACAAGACTTGACCAACACTGGAGCGGGTTCAGGTACATTCAGGAGCCGGTGCATGCCCAGTATTTGCCAACAGTGAGTGACAGAGACGTGACCGATCGCCCGGCCGGCTAGCGAGCCGATCTTTTGGTGAAGAAGATAAATGAAAAGGAAAAGTAATCAGAGACGTGACCGATCGCCCAAGCGGCTAACAAGCCGATCAGTGGCGAAGAGGATAAAAGTAAAAAGTATATGAAGAATTTTCCCCCCAGACTCCTTTGGGGGGAAATTCTTCATATGATCCATTTTATTTACTATGAATTATTATTATTATTTATTATTATATTTTCGCCTCTCCAGGCCCCGATGTGGGTCAGTGACCTGTGCCCGGGTGGGCTAATCCCCGTAAAAAAAAGAAAAGAAAAAAAACTTACTTGAGAAAGGTTCGTAAATAAGTCATATCCGCCAATACTGAACTGGCATTCCTCTGGGTCAATTCTGTTATTCTTGGACGACAGTCCTACAACACCTACTATATCGGGTTGGTGTACCTTCAGTAGTGTTTTAAGCTCTCTCTTTTCAAGGAACCAAAGTCTTTGCTCTGAACGTGTCATGCGCGCAACTCAAAAGCAGAGTCAGCGCATACATATTAGCTAACGTGTTAGTTATTCCGTGCATCTTAAACGCCTTGCAATAAACGCCTTTATTATTTGGCTTCAAATAACTATTCTCACACAGCTTGGATCAATTTAGTGGGAAGGTAGAGTGTAGTTATTTATGTATGAAAATACGGTATTATTAGAAAATTGAATCCTACACTACGAATTACAAAATAGACAATTATCAAATGAAAAGCTCAGACATCAGAGAGTTGAAGAGTTCTGCAATAATAACTATTCTTATATTCATTAAATGCTGTCACACCTTTTGTTTACTTTTATATTCACTATCACTTACTTATAATTACCAGATATCACTACACATATTTATTTAATCTTATCATAACTCACTATATATGTGTAAATAAATAAAATTTTGGTAATTTATTTTATATTACACGTCAATTAGGGATTATATATATTGCCAAAGAGATTGGTTCTCCTTGCAGCTAGGGTTTGTATACACGCTCCCTCCACTAGTCCACTCCTTTATGAAGTAACCATCTTGGTGAGCGGCCGCCGCGCGTTCACTATAGTGTAATCTCCTTCCATCGTTGTCACGTGAGTATGTAATTAAATGTTGTATTAATGTGAGGGTAATATGAAACTCTGGCTATACGGGCATATATATGAATAAGCTGGATAAATTTACGGAGACCATTAAAAAAGCCATGTAAATTTGGGGATGTAGAACACCCGCTGTAAGAAAAATTTAAAAATTAAAATATGTGTTATAATGCCGCATATGGAATGTGAATAATAGATATGGTGAGATTAATCGATATAATTGTTTAACTGGCCGGATTTTCTGTATTGTCAGGATGAATGAGAGTCTTCAGCTACGTGGGACTCTGGTGGGCCATAATGGCTGGGTCACGCAGATCGCAACAAACAGGAATTTCCCTGACATGATCTTGTCAGCCTCCAGAGGTAAGTTACTGAAATAGCATCCATCTCTGCAACACAAGTCTCCACAATTTATACCTGCTGTCCCATGAATTAATTGTTAAGCCTTAAAACTGTCAAGACCGGTCCGACTAACTACCCAAATGTAGCCAAATATAGCCGGAATGAAGTCAAATAATGGTCCTAGATGAATAAATCGGACTACCAATCACTTCTCGACTAGTATTTGGTGTCAAATTAAAAAAAAATTGGTAAACTTAATTTAATCTGAGTTGGGTTAGGTTAGATTAGGTTAGGTACATGCACTTGATCTATTAACTCAGATTAAATTAAGTTTACCAATTTTTTTTTAATTTGACACCAAATACTAGTCGAGAAGTGATTGGCAGTCTGATTTATTCATCTAGAACCATTATTTGACTTCATTCCGGCTATATTTGGCTACATTTGGGTAGTTAGTCGGACCCGTCAAGACCGTCCGTGTTGACAACCTTCCCAGCGGGTCCGACTAATTACCCAAATGTAGCCGCAATGAACTCAAATAATGGTCCTACATGAATAAATCGGGTTACCAATTACTTCTCGACTAGTATTTGGTGTCACGAAGTCACAAAAAATTGGTAAACTTAATTTAATCCAAGTTAATAGAGAAATCCGACTGAGAGAGATTTAGGAGTAATGATAAGTAGGAACCTTAAGCCAAGTAAACAATGTGTTTTTGCTCGTAACAAGGCTAATAAAGTACTTGGGTTCATACAAAGGAGTGTTAGTTACAAGACTAGCGAGGTCATCCTAAAACTGTATCTTGCTCTTGTGAGACCACACCTGGATTACGCAGTTCAGTTCTGGTCACCGTGTTACAGAATGGATATAGAATCCTGGAAAGAATTCAGAGGAGAATGACAAGACTAATCCCGGGCATTAGGAACCTTGAGTATAGAGACAGGTTAAAGCATCTTAATTTGCACTCCCTTGAGAGACGTAGAGCGAGGGGCGACCTGATAGAGGTGTATAAGTGGAAGGCAGGGCTAAACAAAGGGGACATTACTAAGGTACTCAAACTATCCAACCAGGAGCGAACTCGTAACAATGGTTTTAAATTAGACAAATTTAGATTTAGGCGTGAAATAGGTAAGCACTGGTTTGGAAACAGAGTAGTGGATGAATGGAACAAGTTACCAAATATCATCATTAACTCGAATACGCTGAACTGCTTCAAACATAGGTTGGATGCTTATATGAGCAATAGGGGTTGGGTGTAAACGGGACTGCCCAGTATGGGCCAATAGGCCCGCTGCAGTTTCCTCCATTCTTATGTTAAGTGCATGTACCTAACCTAACCTAACCTCGACTAGTATTTGGTGTCACGAAGTCACAAAAAAAATATGGAAAACGTAATTTAATTTGAGTTAATAGATCGCTTGCATGTACCGAGGGAGCGAGTAATTACCTAAATGTAGCCGCAATGAACTCAAATAATGGTCCTACATGAATAAATCGGACTGTCAATCACTTCTCGACTAGTATTTGGTGTCACGAAGTCACAAAAAATTGGTAAACTTAATTTAATCCGAGTTAATAGATCAAGTACCTAACCTCGACTAGTATTTGGTGTCACGAAGTCACAAAAAATTGGTAAACTTAATTTAATCTGAGTTAATAGATCAAGTGCATGTACCTAACCTTACCTAACACAACTCAGATTAAATTAAGTTTACCAATTTTTTGTGACTGACCAAATAATAATCGAGAAGTGATTGACAGCCCGATTTACGCTTGTATGACCATCATTTGACTTCATTGCGGCTACAATTGGGTAATTATTCGCTCCCCCGGTACATGCACGTGATCTATTAACTCGGATTAAATTACGTTTTCCAATTTTTTTTTTAATTTGTGACACCAAATACTAGTCGAGAAGTGATTGGCAGTCAGATTTATTCATGTAGGACCATTATTTGACTTCATTGTGGCTACATTTGGGTAATTAGTGGGACCCGTAGTATGGTCACAAGGCTTAATAGGTTAGTTTGGAATCGTTTGGCTGTAAATTAATTCACAGATAAAGTTACAAATGAAATACCAACCAACCAACAAAACCTAACCTAACCAGGGTTGCACCCCTTCCATTTCTTACTGTTAGCTTGAAGAAAACTGGTGACACCGCCAAGTGTGTTGTTGTTCTCGCAGTGTGCACTGATTATTACGGACAAACACGCCGTGTTTTCAAGAAAAAAAATTGCCTCGCTATTTTTCTAATGAAACTCGGCAATTGACGTAAAATAATCTCACAATTAAATCTCCGCTCCTGACGCACCCACTCATTGTGGGTCCGACTAATTACCCAAATGTATCCGCAATGAAGTCAAATAATGGCCCTACACGAATAAATCGGACTGCCAATCACTTGTCGACTAGTATTTGGTGTCACGAAGTCACAAAAAATTGGTAAACTTAATTTAATCTGAGTTAATAGATCAAGTGCATGTACCTAACCTAACACAACACAACTCAGATTAAATTAAGTTTACCAATTTTTTGTGACTGACACCAAATAATAATCGAGAAGTGATTCACAGCCCGATTTACGCTTGTAGGACCATCACTTGACTTCAATGCGGCTACATTTGGGTGATTACTCGCTCCCTCGGTACAAGCACGCGATCTATTAACTCAGTTTAAATTAAGTTTTACATTTTTTGTGACTTCGTGACACCAAATACTATTCGAGAAGTAGTTGGCAGTCCGATTTATTCATGTAGGACCATTATTTGACTTCATTGCGGCTACATTTGGGTACATTTGGATAATTAGTCGGACCGACTCATTGTTCATTGGCTAAGACGAAAAACTTTTACCCAATAATAAGTCTATCACTATAGCCAATAAGAAACTCCCACACCACCCCCTGTTGGTCCGACTAATTACCCAAATGTAGCCGCAATGAAGTCAAATAATGGTCCTACATGAATAAATCGGACTGCCAACCTCTTCTCGACTAGTATTTACATAAGAACATTAGAAAATAAGGAGTCTGCAATAGGTCGGTTGGCTTGTGCATGGCAGCTCCTGTCGAGAGTTACAACCACTATCATCCATGAATCTATCTAGCCTCCTTTTGAAACTTTCCAGACTTCCAGCACTTACTACAAAGTTGCTAAGCTTGTTCCACTCGTCCACCACCCTATTTGGTGTCAGTCACAAAAAATTGGAAAACTTAATTTAAACTGAGTTAATAGATCGCGTGCTTGTACCGAGGGAGCGAGTAATTACCCAAATGTAGTCGCAATGAAGTCAAATGATGGTCCTACAAGCGTAAATCGGGCTGTGAATCACTTCTCGATTATTATTTGGAGTCATAAAGTCACAAAAAATTGGTAAAGTTAATTTAATCTGAGTTAATAGATCGAGTGCGTGTATCTAACCTAACCTAACTCAACTCAGATTAAATTAAGTTTACCAATTTTTTGTGACTTCGTGACACCAAATACTAGTCGAGAAGTGATTGGCAGTCCGATTTATTCATGTAGGACCATCATTTGACTTCATTGCGGCTACATTTGGGTAATTACTCGCTCCCTCGGTACATGTTTGTGATCTATTAACTCAGATTAAATTAAGTTTTCCAATTTTTGTGACTTTCTGACACCAAATACTAGTCGAGAAGTGATTGGCAGTACGATTTATTCATGTAGGACCATTATTTGACTTCATTGCGGCTACATTTGGGTAATTAGTCGGCCCCCCGCACATACACTATAAATGTTTAAGAAGCAAAGACGGAGGTACTGGGTGAGGTGGGCCAGACATTTTCCTCGAGAAGTAAACAAATCATGGCGACATATGACTGACCAAATATAATAATATTGAAAATTTAATATCTCGCTTATCCTTAATTTCCGGTGGAAATATCATTGAAGAAAATTTTTTAAAATTGTCTAAACATTATGAAATACATAAGAACATAAGAAAATAAGGAGTCTGCAATAGGCCGGTTGGCCTGTGCATGGCAGCTCCTGTCGAGAGTTACTACCACGCTCTTATCATCCATGAATCAATCTAGCCTCCTTATGAACCTTCCGGAGTTCCAGCACTTACTACAAAGTTGCTAAGCTCGTTCCACTCGTTCACCACCCTATTTGTGAACCAGTTCCTTCCTATCTCCCTCCTAAAGCTAAACTTATTCAACTTAAATCCGTTGCTCCGAGTCCTATCCTGCTCGGATATTATAAGAACTTTTTCTATATCCTTTTTATTGATTCCTTTCACCCACTTAAATACTTCTATCATATCTCCCCCCACTCCTCGTCCTTCTAGGGAATGCAAGTTAAGTTTCTTTAACCTATCCTGATATGGAAGGTTTCTAAGTCCTGGAATCATTTTCGCCATTCTTCGCGGCACCGACTCTAGTGAATTGATATCCATTCTATAATAGGGCACCAGAACTGAACCGCATAATCGAGGTGTGGCCTGACTAGTGCAAGATATAGTTGCAATAAGACCTCTGCACTCTTATTACGTACACTTCTAGATATAAAACCCAATACTCTGTTTGCCTTATTTCGAACATTAACACACTGTTTTCTTGGCCGTAGGTCCGGGCTTACAAGTACCCCTAGGTCTTTCACAAGTCGACTTCTCTAGGTTGATGTTGTTAAGGCTGTATACATTGTCAGTATTTGTTCTTCCAATATTAAGTACGCTGCACTTGCTGGTGTTGAATTTCATTTGCCATTTTTCAGACCACCCCTGCAGTTTATTTAGATCCTCCTGTAGTGCATTTGCATCCTGCCCTGAATTAATCTGCCGCCCTATTTTGGTGTTATCCGCAAACTTGCTTATGTCACTGCTGATCCCAGTATCTAGATTGTTTATGTAGATTATGAACAAGAGTGGACCTGGTACTGACCCCTGGGAAACCCCATTGGTTACACAGCCCCACCCAGATTTAACACCATCTACGCTGACCCTCTGCGTTCTATCGGTGTGCCATGATTTTATCCAATTTAAAACTTTCCCCTCATGGTAATGAGCCTTAGCTTTTCTCAGAAGCCGCTGATGCGGTACTCTGTCAAATGCTTTGCTAAAGTCTAAGTAAATAACATCGTAATTTTCGTCATTATCTCCTACCTCGAAGACTTTCCTAAAAAAGTCAGCAGATTTTGTTAGACAAAATTTTCCCTTTGTAAACCCATGTTGAGAGTCGTAGATTAATTTGCTTTTCTCTAGATGCGATCGGATGCTATCTGCTATAATTGATTCAAGAAATTTCCCCACTACTGACGTCAAATTGATCGGCCTGTTAATTTGACGCTCATGCTCTGTCTCCCTTTTTGAATATGGGTACTACATTTGCCCTTTTCCATAAGTCTGGCACAACTCCGGTGTCTAATGAGTTTGGAAATAAATTTACGAGGGGTCCGCTAATCTGTTCCCTACACTCTTTCAAGGCTCGAGGGAAAATTTCATCCGGCCCTGGGGATTTTGTCTTCTTTAGTTTATTTATCCTCTTTAGAACATCCTCTTTTCTGATAGTGATATTCTTTAATTTCTCTTCTTCCTTTCCCCTAAATATCAGTTCCACCTCTGGAATTTCCTCGCGAATTTCTTCTGTGAAAACTGATAAGAAGCAGTTGTTCAATGCTTTGCTTATTTCTTTACTGCCATTTATCACTTCTCCCCTCTCTGACTTTAAAGGCCCAACTTTGTCCTTGACTTTTGTTCTATTATGTCAATGCTGTTGGGAATGAGCAGTAGTTGAGATATATGAAAAAAAGGGGAAGGTCAAACGATGTAAATACAAAAAACTAACTTAACCTAACCTAACCCCTAGTGCAAAAGAAATTTACCATAAGTAAGAGATTTAGGAAGATAAAGTGATACGACTTGAATGAGGAAGTGCCTGTCAGTGTCCGTCTCTTATCACAGTAGTATGGATGGCGATCTACACTGTATTGACACTCCGAATTACATCTTGGTCGTCGGGTCAATTCAACTTATGACCTGGTCATATCGTTTTAACATCTAGTTTCTCGGCTAAGCTTATACACTTTCTATTAGCTTTTGAAACAACACTACCATCACTTGCTCATGCTGAATAGGGATGCAAAAAATGCTGTAAGATACCTGAGAAAGTTTTTCTCCTTTTCCTGTTCAGATGCGTGAAAACAAAGGGCCCGCCAGCTGCGATTGTTTATACTAGTGATGCTGGCGTCACCACTAACAAGCCCAGCAGCCTCCGTGCGCAAGGCGTGTTTTATATATATATATATATATATATATATATATATATATATATATATATATATATATATATAAATATTGGGATTTAGTTTTTATTTATACGAAAATGTAATATATATTTTTTTAAATTTCTTCGTAAATACAAAGAAAATAATGGCTTCTTAAATTATCCAGGGTCTTGGATGTGAATCTTTGTTAGTTGAACCGTAGGCCAACTCGGCCTATCTTAAATAACCAACTTGGCCCACCCAGTTAGCTAACTCTGCCTATCTTAAATAACTAACTCGGCCTACCTTGCACACTTCAAACAAGTAGCTGACTAAAGGTTCAAAAATGAGAGTTGTTTTGTCTCTCTTGGTTCACTGAAACACGACATTTTAGTGTCATGATCAGTTTTCACCGTGTTTTACCCTGCAATTTCTCTCCTCCTTCATGCCTTGCACATAACAGGTGATTTATGATTGTAAAGAAAAGATTTAAAAAAAATCTTATTAGAATAAAAAGTTGTTACATCTTAAAATACTTGCTTTGATAAGAACATATGTAGAAAAATTTCACAAAATCGAACAACTCCTTCTGGTGTTAACCATCTATCCAGTATTACCTATAATGACAACTTAAACAATCCCATCGACCTATTGACACTAGAACTCTCCATATGGACAGTCATATTGCCAACATGAACCTGGCTTAGAATAGATTTCCATTAAGGTCCAGTAGGTTTTGTGGTTTCGTGTTTTTCACTAAACTAATACTTTACATTACAGTCAAGTCTTGGACATATGACACGGTTTCTGTGCATATTTTTGGCAGCTGTTGCTAGTATGATAGCTAGGAAGTGGAAAGTAGTGAGGTTTGAGGGGTTATCGCCTCTTGCATGCAAGATGACCAGGTATGGCGCGAGGCACTCTGTACCTCCAACATTTGGTGCACATTTTGTGATGAAATCTTCCAGTGTTGGGTTCTTGCCTGTTTTCACCAAGTACAAAATCTGCATGTTGAAAAGGGCCACATCATTAAAATGGAAGAACAGTGTCTTGTACTATACCACTTCATTGTCTTTAGTGCGAATGCTTTGCATGACAGCATATTGAAAGTATGATCTGTAACACTGAGGTTCATGGATGTTGAAATTAATGTGACTGGTTGAAATTAGGCAATTTATCTCTGAAAAGGGAAATTATTGTTACAATGTGGAATTGCGTATTTTTGTCGTGACTATTCTATAAAATGTGCGGTAATATTTATGATAATTGACCAGATGTAACCAGGTGTGGTAGAAGAGGTTTATTTATTTTTTCCTTTCATTTAATTAAAATCCCAGTATCAAACATCCTCAATAACATAGCATTGTTAGTACTATATACAGTACACTGGTGTACTGAGATCAGCTGGTGACTTAGTGTGGCTGCTGACTGGCGGCGTATAGTCATGTGACTACTGTATGTGGGACGCCTAGTAGAGCGTGTGGCTTAGTCGCTTTACTCGGTGTTTTTCTTTTGATATTGGATTGTAACTTAGCTGTGTGCGTTTGTACGCTCAAAACTAGTGGATGTTGGTAGAAATATGAAGCTGCTGCTCAGGGAGAGTCTGATATTGCAAAAAAAATGAAAATTAGGAGGTTGGTCACTTCCGGAGGTCTGTTTTTTCAGCACGCGTTCTTTTATCTTCTCATTGGATTACTATTTTTTTAATGATTAAAAATGGTGAAGGTCAAATAAAAGCTTGAGGTATGTGGCAGTCTTTACTATATTTTTATGTAAAATTTGGAGGTTAGAAGCTAAGTAATATAATGCAATATTTCTACTTTCAGATAAATCTCTGATTTTGTGGAAGCTCACACGTGAAGAGAACCACTATGGAATTCCTCAAAAGCGTCTTCATGGACATTCCCACTTCATCTCGGATGTGGTAAGTGCACAGTCTATTTCTTTGTTAATTAAATAAATTGCGTCCTCTTGGAAAAGTTTCCTTTTTTTAATCTAAATAAATATTTCAGGTTTTATCTTTGGATGGACATTTTGCCTTGTCTGGCTCGTGGGACAAGACACTGCGCCTTTGGGATTTAGCTGCCGGCAAGACCACCAGGCGTTTTGAGGACCACAATAAGGTCTGAACCTGCAGTTATGAACTGACCAGAACCACAACATTCTTCAAAAATTAATTCAGGAAGCTTTTTTGTTAAATATTTTTTTTAGTAGATAGAAGAGGACACCTACGAGTTGGTGAGTATGTGACCTGCACTAAAGGTGCGGGCGTCAAGTTTTATACCTTGACATGGAAGAGGTTTGTCAACCTCAGACAATCTCCATTACTCCTCAACAGTGGCTTCCCTACAGTCAATAAGTGCTGTATTTACCTTCATAATCTGAAATAAATGGTTGTGGTACTGACAATTTTCAAGTAGTGTTAAATGGTTTCTCAAATATCTAACCATTTTTCCTATTTATCTTGATTGTTACTGGGAGATGAATAACTAATACAACATTATAGGCATCACAACACAACCTGTAGAATTTATGTACAGAGGAAAAAAGGTTAGAAGGACTCGCTGAAATATGCCAATATTTTATTATAATTGGGCTAGAGAAAATAAACTTAATTGCAGAATCATGGTCTTGTATTCCATTCATATAGGGTGGGTGGGTGTACTCAAATCTGTGTATTTACAGGATGTGCTCTCAGTTGCATTCAGTGCTGACAACCGTCAGATTGTCTCGGGCTCTCGAGATAAGACAATTAAGGTACGTTAAATTTGTCAATGGACACCTGAGTTGCATGTACTTCCATCTGACTTGCAATGGTTCACATAAGAAACTTAATATTTGATCCTGATTCAAGTTAAACTGATGTTCAATCTGCCCCTCCCCCCTCTTCTTTTTCTCTTAATTAAAAACACATTTCACACTTTTATTGATAAGGATGGTGAATAGTGTCGTGTGAGTCAGTCATTTGAGGTCTTTTTACAATAATACAAAAATATGAGTGGAAAGAAGCATTCAAGTGATAATGGTGGTGCTTGTGTAAATGTAAAAGAAAGTACAGGGTGTTCGAAAAGTCTCTTTACATCTGCAATAATTAAAAATATAGTTTTTACCTTTTTCTACTGAGTAGGTATTGAAAATGGTCACAGTAAATGTCGGAAATGGATACCAGTCCTAATATTTACTGTAAGTAGAACAAGGTATATACCAGTGTTGGTATAACAAGGAACTATAGTGTTGAGTTGTACAGGTGTACAAAGATTTTATATTCCCATTTATTAATTTAAGTGACAAATTAAAAGGTATTAAAACAATTGGAGTTGAATTTCTGATATTTTCATGGGTGTAAGGAATGACATTTCCTGTGAAGATTGCCTTAACTTCAGATTAAAGCTATTCTCGCTCCTTTTCTTGCTCATCTTCTGTTTCCATACTCACATCTTTATCTCCATTTCTATTCTATTTTATAATTTTTCTCATTCACTTATTAGTCTTACTAATTTGTTCTTCAGAATTAGTTTATGCAAGAAGGTTCATTTGACAAACATTAATTAGTGTCTTGTTAGTGATCAGGACAAGGCTTGTTCACATCGAAGTTGATATTCACTTTTTGGCGGCGGAATACAAAATGTATTGCCGTCTCCTCATTCGTAAAAACTTTGTTTATGTCCGTGATTTGTTTGTAAAGAACTTGGAGGGGATTTTTAAATTTTTGTTCATTTCCCCAACCCCTCCACACCTTGTAAGTCACACTTAACATTATCCTTGAACTCAGCCCAGCGTATCACTACGTTGCTACTGACTGATTCCACTCCTCAACTTGTCAAAGAATGCTTCCTTTATGTTGTGCTCCTTCAATTTCCACACATGCCTTCATTGAACATCATCACCTTCCTTTTCCTGCACATTTTTAGCAACATCTCGATTAATCATAAGTTTTTAATGATTACGACAGTATATACACATGGTTTTTCTTCCCGAGCTGGTAATATGGTTAGACTGTTAAATGGTGATGATGGGGCTCCCAAAGTAGTATTGTTAACATGGACAACTTCATTACAATACTTCGTTAGAATTTTAAACTTAATTTTTCTCTCTAATGTTGTAATATATTTCCAGCTGTGGAACACACTGGCCCAGTGCAAGTACACCATTCAGGAGGATGGTCACTCTGATTGGGTCTCGTGTGTGAGATTCTCCCCCTCAAACAGCAACCCCATTATTGTCTCGTGTGGATGGGATAAGGCAGTTAAGGTTTGTACTAGTTTCCTTATTGAGCTACTGGATGAGAAAATTGATCTTACATGCCTGTACTGTAACTCCAATTAACTTGTATCATGATTAGAACCACTTTCTGAATTGTGATGTTCTATTATGCGGATATAGGTCTGAAAGAGTTATGTCATGTCATACATTATAAAGCAGTGGTCAAATTGTAATGTACTGTATATGCATTTTATCCCCAGGTGTGGAGCTTAACTAACTGCAAACTCAAGACCAACCACTATGGTCATGCTGGATACTTGAACACTGTGACAGTCTCGCCTGATGGTTCCCTATGTGCTTCAGGTGGCAAGGTAGGACAGTTACCAGGGTTTTATTGTTATTAGAAGATGTGTGACAATTTGTGCTGGGAATTTTAAGTAGTTTATTAATTGGAATACTATCCTAAAACTAAAGAAAATATTATGTTAAAATAGGTTATTTTGATGAATTCAAGTGGACTACAATACAGATCCTCTGGAAGGAGCCTGGGTCTTGGGTTTGAGTGAAATAAAGTTGTTAGAAAAAGTTGGGGGAAGTCAAATTGGTGTCAGAAAGGTTGAAAGTAAGAGAATTGATTGCTGCTTTGCCTGGATGACTTAAGAGAAATAAGATAATCTTCGGTTTAGCTTTGCCATTTCATTTCTTGATAAAGGATCTCTGCTGTATTAGTGCATAGAATACCAGTTTGGCTAAAAAACAAGAAAAGAATTTGTGAAAACTGTACAAGAAGCCCAACACAGGATCTAATTGAAAACTTAGCGAACCTGAGATAGGTTAGGTTCATAAATGTTTCTTACCACTTTCTCCCTTGTGAAGTAAGGGGCAGAGAGAGCATCAAGTATATATTGTTGGGGTTGTTTTTTAAGTCTAACTGGTGGTGGTGCACAGGACTAAAGCAGGATGTTAAATGAATCCGTTTCATGTATTCCTTTTTATCCTACAGTTCATACTTTTTATGTTAAACAAGATTGAACGTTTCATCAAATCACAAGATTTAGTGGCCAAATTAAACAGCATTTACAAGTTTGATAATTATTCGAGGTTTATTGATCTAAATTCATGTTTGATCAGATGTCACAGCAGGTAAGCTTTTAGAGACAAGCATTTATGGAGGGACTATGGGGTAATGTCTAGATGTTCAGAAATTTTAACAAATATTTATTTGATGTAGTTGGTGTTCCTATGACTTTTTTTTTTTTATTAAATGACTTGTGCTTGAAACACCAATTGGTCATAGGAACTGTAAGCTTTTAATGCCATGCTATGCTTCCACCATCATACATAACAGAGTATCACTAGGACAGCCTTTATTCAGTACCTATTTTATCAATAAAAGTATAATCTCTTGAGTGATAGTGATTCCATTAGTGTATTACCCGACTGTTTCCTGTTCCACATGTTCCAGTTTGAGTAGAGTATTGTACGTATGGAAGTAAACTAAGGATTCCTTACCCTCCTTATAAGTGTTAAACTAGGAACAACTTGTTTACATATTGTACAATTCTAGGTTTTGGGTTGCTGGAATCTACATTACTGGATATTTTCTGTGTGTGCTGCATGTATCTTCGAAGGTCATAAAATTCTATTAAAAATTTTCAGGATGCCAAGGCCATGCTGTGGGACCTTAATGATGATAAGCATTTGTACACTTTGGACCACACTGACACCATCAACTCCCTGTGCTTCAGCCCCAACCGTTACTGGCTGTGTGCTGCTACTGGACCCTCAATTAAGATTTGGGTAAATATTCATCCGGTTATATATATATATATATATATATATATATATATATATATATATATATAGTTCATATGATCATGATTACAACCAAAGTTGGTCACATCTGAGCATATTTTTAAGTTATTTGTCTTTGCTATTGCAGGATCTTGAGGGTAAAAATATGGTTGATGAATTGAAGCCTGATGTAATCACTCAGAACCCCAAGGCTGAACCCCCACAGTGTCTCTCCATGGCTTGGTCAGCTGATGGCCAGACATTGTTCGCTGGTTACAGTGACAGCAAGATCCGTGTTTGGCAAGTCAGTGTTACATCTCGAGCATAAGAAAGTAAATAAATCTTGCTGGTGGTAGTTATTTTTTCATTAAAATAAAACCTAAAACTTATTTTTTAAGTGGTTGTGGGGGGGGGGGGGTTACAGTCCAAATTGTTGTGTAGTGACCTAATTAGTTCTGTATTTGCCCATGGCAGAAATGGCAAGGGTGATTGAAAGGAGCCTGAGTCTTGGGTTTGAGTGAAATAAAGTTGTTTGAAAAAGTGATGTATGTCAAATTGGTGTTGGAAAGGTTGAGAGAAAGGATTGACTGCTGCTGCATGGTGATGGAATACAAGGGGGTCAGACTATATATAGACTGCACAAAAGATATTTTGTGAGTTCAGATGTAGGAGGATAGAGGCGTGGATTGATGTGAACTACTGCCTAGAAAATGTGAGTATAAATATGACTTGACAAGTAGGTGTGGGTTTGGGTAAACTTTGCCAAGTGTGTGCAAATGGTCACATTTATTCGGGAGTATTTTACTGCAATCCTTTAGGGTGGCCTGAATAAAGCAGGTAACACCACTAGACCTTTTATCCATAAGTTGCTGTGGCATCCTCATAAATCACTTGCAATATTTGCGCTTGTGGTATATTGCTTCTTGAGCGTCCATCTCCCAACCTCTTATATACTTCCCTTACCCCATTGCACCATGTCTTTACTGTCCTTCCTATCATCCACTCCTGAAGTATACAGTTTTCACTACTAGCTTCTCATTCTATGTCCAAACCATCTTAGCAATGGTCATTTTTCATGTGTTTAATTCATGTTGTAGTAGAATATGAGGCTAGAAAATAAAATAAATGATTAACTTGAAATGTGTCGGTGATCAAGGGTACTTAGCTGATGTATTAGTGGCTGAAAGACTGTGTCCATTTGGTAAGGATGTGAACATTGATAGTAGACAGTAATTGCAAGTGGAAGGTTTAGGGTGACATACTTAGAAAGTGGAGGGATCAGGTGAATGAGCTGGGAATGAATATGGCTGGATGGTAAAACTAAAATATTGCCTACTTGTTAATGGGTTAAAAAGGAATGGAAGCAAATTGAGTGCAATCCTTGATATTGCAGTAGAGGTCTTGATGCATTAGATTTAGGGTGATGTTGGCAGTGCTAATTAAGAAGGGCATAATGGACTAGCTGCTGGTGTGGAGAGATTGAAATTAATAATAATAATAATGCAGTATACCCAAAGAAAGCCACTTGTTTGTGGGGTATACTAGAAAAAGTCATATAATGGTCAATCCATTTTAGAGGGAAGATTAGGTTTTACAGGAATTCTTGAACAGTTTGTAAAGCAATATAGGCGAGGTAACTCTTTCTTCGATCTGTTATTTGGTGTTTTCCCTGAAATTCAGTTACATGCCATTGGTCTTCATGGAACACAAACAAAATGGACCTTGGTTACATGAGGAATGAGTGTTGAGATCTATGTGGTTCATAAACTGTGTGGAAATGTAAGATGGGAAGGCAAGGAAACCCTCAAGTTCTCTTGTCACATCCAAAAAAGTTATTATGTTGTACACATCAAATGTAATTCTAACTTACACACACCCGAGGTCTATTTGACGTGTGCTCTTTGGAAAGTCCAGATGAAACTTGAGATAGAGAATATCTGATCACATTTTGAGATTCACCCCTTGGGGTGTGTTCACACTAAGGCTGGAATGGACATATTCTGACGTAAATTGTCTGGAGACAAATATATGATATGGTGGGTATTATGATTTTCTCAGCTTGGCTAATACCTGCTGCACGACTTGGTGTCTTCCCTCTAGGATGAAATTTGAAAAATTCAAATTAGATGTGGTTTAAATTTAGTGTTATATATATCTTAACTTCACTCGCTCATTCAATTTGTGTCAGAATATGTTTATTTCGGCCTCGGTGTGAACTCCCCCTTAGAATGAAATAAAAAGAGGCTTCAGACAAACTCAAGCAGGATAAGAAATTATTCCTGTCAGTTCAAAACTGAACTTAAATATTGGAAGACCTTTTCTCCCTTTTGGGTGTCTACAATACAGGTATTGTATTTGTTTTATCCAAGTTGTTAGATGTCTTGCTGGGCTGGAGAGATTTATATAGGTTATCTGGTAGCCTGGATACATAGCTGAGCAGATGTTTATTAATGTCCTTGTGCCTAATGGACAAGAACATTTTTTAACTCTACAGAAGTGTGCAAAGGAACAGACTATATACTGTAGTAGTGATCAAGAGTGAGAGGTAAAGATTAGTGTAGCAAAGGATGCTACTCACAGCTTGTTGGGAATGGTCACTGAATGCACTGATGGAGAAAACCAATGGTTTAAACCTGTTAGTGTTTAAGCCATAAGTGGACAGTGGTCCACTGGCTGCACAAATGGGAGGGGGAAGCATCACAGTGGTGGACATAAGTGCCCCTAGTAAAACTGAACTTGAAACATTTCCAAAAGTGAACTAAATTTGTGATGAAACAAATTTTATGGTGCTTATGTTATACTTTATAAGATATGGTATGTACTGCATACATTTACATATATGATGGAATGGGTACAGTATTTAAATGAGGTTTGGTCATGTGTCTGTAATGAAATATATATATATATATATATATATATATATATATATATATATATATATATATATATATATATATATATATATATATATATATATAATGTTTTTTCTTTAATTGTTTTCATTACAGACACATGACCAAACCTCACAAAGAAAAGTAAAGGCTTGTGTATGACCATGAATGATAAGGGCAAGCATAAAGTGTTATAACAAGTAAATTTCACAAGTAACTAGCCCTGAGCAAGTGCATCCCCAACATAATCTTCACAGCCTGCCTCCTGATTACAATTTTTATAGGTTCACACTGCTTCAATTATAAGCCTCTATAGGTCTCATGGCAAATCACAGCAAGACCCAAAGCACTATAGTTTTCCAAAATGCCCAGTATATTATCTATGGTAACTACGGAATTTCAGAGACCTTATGAGATGTTAATCGAAGCCATATTGAGACTACTGTACAATTGTTCAGTTATCCTGACGAGCATTCCTCTGAGGTACTTGGAAACCATCTTTTAATTGGAACTATAAAACATTACTCATACCAAATGCCTCCCATGAATTATCCTTTTGCGAGGAATTTGTCTCCATACATAAATTACCTTGCAGAACATCCAAAGACCATTGGAACACTGCTAGAATGCCATTTATCTAGTTTGTGCAGAACAAAGCATGTTACAGTAGTAGGGCTTTGAAAATAAGACCAACTCATCATTCAACGATGATTTTAACATCAATGACCATAGACTCTTAAGTGTCATTAATGCTGAGGGTCCATGCACAGTGTTGAATACAAATGTAAATAAAAGATTTTTGTTTCTCAATTGTATTGATAACCTCCAACATTTGCATGAGCCGAATGGAAAGTTCCCTAAATGCAATACGTTCAGGAAATTGGGAAAACATAATAGGTATACTGGAGAGCATACGGTAGGAACTGGAGATACAGAGAAGATAAAAGACACTTGACACACTATCATTAGCCTCCAATTTATTCCTGATTCCTGCCATCTTGTCAATTGTGCTAATATGTCTGTTACTGTACATGTTTTAACATTTATATTCAACATGTTCTTGAGTATTTATGCAACAAGTGTCTCAGAATGCATAGTAGTACAGTACATAAGAAATTTAATTAATTAGTTGCCTACATAATTTTAATACATTTAAAGATAACTTTTAGGCCAGTTGCAGGTAAAGAGAGAGAGAAACCAATACTATAAGTACAGAGTTGTATAAAGTACTGGACTTTGTTACTTAAATAAAAGTATTTTGACCTTGGCAAAATGTTACTCGAGTAGAAGTAAAAGTATCCAAATGTTAATATACTCAAGTAGAATTAAAAAAGTATCTCATTCCTAAAGCACTTGAGTATTGAAAGTAAAAAGTAAAAAAAAAATATTTCAAATATTAAAATAAATCCACAGTAAATTGTAAAAAAAATAGTTAACTAAAGATAAAAATAAAAGACTCGGCATTACACTTGTTTATTTGCAAATCTTAATGTTAAGATTAATCGATAACTGATTTTCAAAATTACGGTTGTCCAATCAGGATCTTTTATGCCTAAATATAAGCCCAGCACGAATATAAGAATGGAGGAAACTGCAGTGGGCCTATTGGCCCATACTGGGCAGTCCCATTTACACCCAACCCCTATTGCTCATATATCCATCCAACCTATGTTTGAAGCTATCCAGCATATTCAAGTTAATGATGATGTTTGATAACTTGTTCCACTCATCCACTACTCTGTTTCTAAACCAATGTTTACCTATCTCATGCCTTAATCTAAATTTGTCTAATTTTATGCCATTGTTACGAGTTCGCTCCTGGTTGGATTGTATTAGCCCGTCTTATAGGCAGAAGTATTTACTGTATATAAATGTTGGTCAATTACATTAGAATCGTATAAATATCACCCCCTGTAACTTTTCACTGGCTATGAGGTTCATGTTCAGAGCATGTGATGAGGTGTGCCCACAGGAAGTCACGTTACTTGGTGCTGAGCTAAGGTTTAAGTAACCGGCTCTTTGGCCACCTATTGATAACCCTGACGAGAGGAAGACGTTATTAGAGCCATCGCCGATGTGCTTCCGTCTTTCCTCGAGGGAGGATGTCGGATATATTTCCGTTCTCCCTCGAGGGTCCCTACTCAAGATCACTCCCAGTCTTGCATCAATCTGACGTATTTAGCAGAGCCACTATAAGATAGCCTCCGTCCTCATTTAACACTCATAGCTACAGTAATTAAGTTACGGTGATGTATACACTTTGAATTGTACATAAAATATTTACCTAATAAATTAAGAAGAGAGAGTTGGGCTTTTGCTACTAAAAACCCTATATACTTTTACATGTTCCAGCCCCATTAACTCTTCAAGAATCAACAGCTAAGGGAGGGAACATAGGTGATAGCAGTTCATGTCTCCAAAAAAAAAAAAAAAAAAAGAAAAAAAAAGTGACTTCTTGTACTCT